AAATCAGCGCATGATCAACATGGCTTTAGTTAGTCAAAGCGCAGAAGACATTAGAAGAAAACTGCAGAAACACGCTGGGTTTGCAGGGATGAATACATCAGTTATTAGAAATAGCTAACCGAGTGTTTGTAAACAGGGACGCAGTAAGCCATAAGGAAAATCGCAAAGAGAGTGAACGTCAGGCCCGGTGAAACGCCGACCTGCTAGCTGCAGCAATCAGAGCAGTCCCCCCAAAGAGGCAAGGGAAGTGAAGCGGGGGGCCCTGGGAAAGAAACTCAGCCTGGTTGTCAGAGTTTGCAGCGTAACCAGTGTGCTTATTGTAAATAAATAGGACATTAGAAGAACAAATGCCCTCAGCTAAAAAGAAAACAAGGTGTTTTTAGTAGAGACGGGGTTTCACAATTCCAGCTACTAGGGAGGCTGAGGCAGGAGAATGGCGTGAACCCGGGAGGCGGAGCTTGCAGTGAGCCGAGATCGCGCCACTGCAGTCCAGCCTGGGTGACAGAGCAAGATACTGTCTCAAAACAAAAAAGGTGACTCAGAGCAGGAGGCCCCAGACAAGGAGGAAGGGGCCCTGCTCAACCTGGCAGAAGGGTTATTGGACTGAGGGGGACCGGGCTCAAGTGCCCCCAAAGAGCCTATGGTCAGGATGACAGTCGGGGGTATTTTCTTGTCGATCCTGGTGCTGAACGTTTGGTAGTAACTGCCCCAGTTGCCGGCTTATCCAAAGACTATTGACACATTGTTGGGGTTGCTGCCAGCTGAGGACACCTGGTTCACCTGTTTGGACCTAAAAGACGCAGATTAGCCCCTGTTGGAAAACAAGAGTATGTAACTCTGGGAGTCAGTGGAACTGAACTGGCAGGAAGACCTGGGGAGTGAAGATGAGAGTGAGAACTCCCACTGGTGAGTGACCTTCTCAAAGTGGGGAATGAGGAGAGAAGCCATTTCTCTTACTGTCTCCTCTCTCTGAGGAGGAGGAAGTAAAAGTTGAAAAACAACAGGAATGAAGTCAGTGGCAAGACCAGCCGGTGCCACTGATGACCAGGCCTGAGGTTAAAAGATTAACCCCCACTCTAACCACATGTGCAGGACCCTTTCAGGTGGAACCCCGTAGAGTTGTAAGCCCTTAAAAGGGCCAAGAACTCTGTCTTCGGAGAGCTCGGCTTTTTTTTTTTTTTTTTTTTTTGAGACAGAGTCTGGCTCTGTGGCCCGGGCTGCAGTGCAGTGGCCGGATCTCAGCTCACTGCAAGCTCCGCCTCCCGGGTTTACGCCATTCTCCTGCCTCAGCCTCCCGAGTAGCTGGGACTACAGGCGCCCGCCACCTCGCCTGGCTAGTTTTTTGTACTTTTTAGTAGAGACGGGGTTTCACCGGGTTAGCCAGGATGGTCTCGATCTCCTGACCTCGTGATCCGCCCGTCTCGGCCTCCCAAAGTGCTGGGATTACAGGCTTGAGCCACCGCGCCCGGCCGAGCTCGGCTCTCAAGATGCGAGTCTGCCGACGCTCCCGGCCGAATGAAAAACCTCTTCCTTCTTTAATCTGGTGTCTGAGGAGTTTTGTCTGCGGCTCGTCCTGCTACATCATTATGGTTTTGATTTGCCTTTCTCTAATGATTGGTGATGTTGAGTGAACATCTTTTCATGTTCCTGTTGGTTATTTTCTGGGAGAAGATGTTCAAGATGCTAAACCCTTATCATAAGACTTGCAAATATTTTCTCCCATTCTGTAGGTTATCTTTTTATTTTATTTTTCTTTGTTTTTGAGATGGAGTCTCACTCTGTCACCCAGGCTGGAGTGCAATGGTGCAATCTTGGCTCACTGCAACCTTCACCTCCTGGGTTCAAGCAATTCTCCTGCCTCAGCTTCCTAAGTAGCTGGGATTACAGGTTCCCAACACCACGCCCAGCTAATTTTTTTTTTTAAAGACAAAGTCTTGCTCTGTGTCCCAGGCTGGAATGCAGTGGCACGATCTCGGCTCACTGCAACCTCCGCCTCCCAGGTTCAAGCAGTTCTCCTGCCTCAGCCTCCCCAGGAACTGGGATTACAGGCACACACCACCACACCCGGCTAATTTTTGTATTTTTGGCAGAGATGGGGTTTCACAATGTTGGCCTGGCTGGTCTCAAACTGCTGACCTTGTGATTCACCTGCCTCGGCTTCCCAAAAGTGCTGGGATTACAGGTGTGAGCCACTGTGCCTGGCCTAATTTTTTATATTTTTAGGAGAGACAGGGTTTCACCATGTTGGCCAGGCTGGTCTTGAATTCCTGATCTCAAGTGATCTGCCCACCTCGGCCTCCCAAAGTGCTGGGATTACAGGCGTGAGCCACTGGCCCCGGTCTCTTTACTTTCTTAATGTTCTTTGATGCACAGCTGTTTCTAGTTTTGGTGGAGTCAAAATTTATTTATTTTTCCAGTTGCGCATTTATTTATTTTTCCAGTTGCGCATGCTTCGGGTGTCATATCCATTGGCAAATCCAAGGTTCATGGAAATATACCCCTATGTTTTCTTCTAAGATCTGCATAGATTTAACTCATTGATCGATTTTTGGTCAATTTTTGTAGACGGTTTAACATGGGAGTTTGTGGATGTCTGTCTGTCTCAGCATCTTTTGTCGAAGAGACAATTCTTCCTCCGTGGAATGGCCTGGCACCCTTGCTCAGACACGTGGGCTCATTTCTAGACTCAGTGTTATTCCATTGATCTGTGTGGCCTTATGATGGTACCACACTGTTTTGATGACTGTAATTCTGTAGTAAGTTTTGAAATTGAAAGTATGGGTCCTACAGCTTTGTTCTTTTACAACATTGTTTTGGAAATTATGATGTGCCCAGCTTCATGTTCTTGGTCTCTGGGCATCTCAGCAATAGCTTGAATTATGCCCTGGCATTGAGCCACCTGAAGGATGGAGACAGAGTCACTGTGGACACTAATAAGGGCTTTTCTCTGCAGGTTGGTGGCATCCGTGTGGGGCTGTGGTGTTGACCTGGGAGGTCCCCGACACTCAGGCCCCCATGGCGGCATTGTTCCTGCAGGTCTGCTGCGTGAGGACACTGGCAGGGAGGCAGGTGGGAGGAGGAAAGGGCAGGGCTTCCCAGAGTGACCAGAAGGCACTCCTTCTACGGGGCCTCAGGGGAGCCTCCGGCTTTCCCTCCACCCAGCTCTCCCCGGGCACTTGATTTTCTGCCAGTCTCTGGAGAGCAGGCTCTGCTTAGGGCCGGTGGAAAAGTTCCCTTTTCCCACTATGCAGCCAAGTGAAACAGGGCAGGCCAGCGGGTAGAGGAAGGGGATGGGCATGACCTCTCCTGAACGGACTTCAAAAGCGAGTCAGTCAATCACAGGCCAGAGATGCGGAAACTTCTCTTGACAGAAAATGGCATTCACTCTTCCAGGAAATGGCACTTGGTGTTCTTGGGATGCTAGGGTGCCACATGCTGCCTGGGGCTGGGGGAGGGAGGGTTTGGAGTTGAGGTAATCACAGAACCTTCCTGAACCAGAAGCCCTTGTGGGCCTTGGAGGCTGGCAGGGCCCTGTACATAGCACCTACAGAGGGCAGGGGTGTGCATCAGGAACTGGAGAAGGGGGAGCTCGTGCGGGATGCACAGGAGAGCGCCAAGCAGGGAGCTGTGGGGGTCTCTGCGGCTCCAGGGAGTGACAATATTCGGGGAGTCTCTAGGAGCTTGTTGAGCAGGGAGGCAGGAGAGAAGCCAGGAGAGGGGCACAGTGAGTGAGCTTCAGGGAGGGCAGGGCACAGGCCTATCCACCCGTGTGGGGTGGCACATACAACTTCTCAGCTCTGGAGCTGTAGCACTGACAATCTATTTGAGGCCACACTAAAAACCCCAAACACCCAAATTCTCACAAATGATCTTCAAGAGTGACGTTAAATGCCAACTGTCCCCGCTGCAGCAATCTCAAGCTGCCACCTCCCCTGGCTCTCTGCGAGGGTCTCACACAGTCACAACGGGAGTGAGCCGGGCCCTGGGCTCTACACAAAATGCAGGGGAAGTGGCCGAGGCTACTCATTCTCGATGCAGTCAAAATAGTCATTGTTATGGAAGTGTCCTAAGAGTCACAATTCCGCACAGTCAGCAGATGCACACCTGTGCCTGGCGCCGCGCACCCATCAGGGGCACTATAACGTCTGTCTGCTGAGCCTGGCAGGCTCTGGAGCTGCTGGTGAGCACCCAGACGCAGTCCCTCTCCGGGGCAGATGCTCACAGCAGCCACAAGCGCCACCACCTCGTGGCCTGTGAGTGCTCTCCGGAGGCCAAGCTGTGGTTCAGCTGGTGCTGTCTCCTGCAGGAGTACCCTGGCTGGCTGAGGACTTCCTAGCTGGGCACACATGCCCATGACATAGGGTCTCGGTCAGCCCCTGGGTCGGGGCGCTAATGCTCTTGACCCAGTGAGCCCACAGTTGTGGAGGTCTTCACTGTCTCCTGACAGGTGTTCTTACAGCAGAGGCCACAACTTCGTGAGGACAGAGGAGCTTTCCAGGCCAGCAGGAGTTGCTCAGAGCTGCGTCACCAAACCCTTGACCATAAGAAGAAAGTCTGGGGGGTTTGCCGTGGATGGGACAGGGACTGCAGAGAGGCTGGCTCAGCTGTGCAGATTGGTCCCCATTAGGGTCAAAATCGCAGGTTCCCTGGGTCCACGCCTAGGAGTGCACACCTGGCCCTTATAAGGCCAGCATCAGTGGTCAAGATGGACCAGGAGTGGTGTGTGGGCTATCTCCTCAGGATTTTTAAAGGTTCCCTACATTTTTTTTTATTTAACATTATTATTATTTTCAGACAGAGTCTTGCTGTCACCCAGGCTGGAGTGCAGTGGTGCGATCTCAGCTCACTGCAACCTCCACTCCCGGGTTCAGGCGATTCTCCTGCCTCAGCCTCCTGAATAGCTGGGACTACAGGCGCCCACCACCAGGCCTGGCTAATTTTGTATTTTTAGTAAAGATGGGGTTTCACCATGCTGGCCAGGCTGGTCTCGAACCCCAGACCTTGTGATCCGCCTGCCTCAGCCTCCCAAAGTGCTGGAATTACAGGCGTGAGCCACCGTGCCCAGCTACATTATTTTTTTTGGTTTAGAAATATGTAGAATGTATGTAATGTGGAATAACAACAAAGACATGTCAGCTAGTCTTAATTTAGTGAACACAATAGAGAATTGCATCTCACCAGACATGTATTGACTTAACTAAAGGTTTAAGACTTCACAGACACAGGAGGAGGATGGGAGCATGTGAACAGACAACAGACAGGCTCGAACAGACGCTGAGCTGCAAGCAGACATCACAGCACCGACAGACGGGGAAGCGCTGCAAACTGGGAGAGTCGTGTTATGGGATCTTCAGGGTGTCGTTTTTCTGGCCAAAACCTCTGTGGCTGGGGGGCCTTTGCCCGAGTTTTGCTCAGGCTTGCTGGGCTCATTTCACCCACTTGGGCTGGCAGGCTGCCCTCGGCTCACACTACAGGCCTGGGTCCCATGCCTGCCAAGGGCAAGTCAGGCATGGAATGGTGAGGCGTGTGTGAGCGCGTAGGGTCTGGCCATGGTGCACAGTCAGACATGCCAGCTGCTTCAGCCGGGCGAGCAGCTCTAGGTGCTGGCTCCCTGTGAGGCATCAGCCAGACCAAGCACACAGCAAGCAGCTTCTACAGCATGGCACTGGGGAACACGGTGGTGCCCAAAAGTTTAGAGACACCAGGAACCACAGGGCCCCAAAGAGGGAATCACAGCCCTGGCTTGGGGAGCTCCCAGGTCTGGGTTCCCCAAAGGGCCGCAGCTCCTCTCTCCTTCGCTTTACCTGTAATGTGGCAAGCAAAGGGCACATCTCAGCCCTGTTTGTGCTACAGCTCTTTTAGCCTTGCCATTTGGCAGGTCCCGAGTTCTTGTTCTGCATCCAAGAACGAGGTATGCAGACAAGTGGAGAGTGAGCAAGATGAAGAGAAGCTTTATTGAGTGATAGATAGAACAGCTTTGAGGAAACCCACAGGGGGGCAGCTCCTTTCTGCAGCCAGGGTGTCCCAACATCTGTTCAGCTCCGAGCAGAAAGGGTAGCTCCTCTGTTAGGCAAGTCATCCCAACAGGTGTTCAGCTATCAGCAGAGAGGGTAGCTCTTCTCTGCATCTGGTCATCCCATCATCTCCCTGTCATCGCTCCATCATCTCGGCAGCTCTCAGCAAAGAGGGGGTCCTGGAGTAGGTTGCTCCTGTCTGCAGGTGGTCGTCCCAACATTTGCTCAGCTCTGGCTGAGCCTGGGGCTTTTATGGGCCTCAATGGGGAGGAAGTGCATGCTGTGCCAGTTGGTCCAAGGGAGGCCATGGGCAGGCCTGAAAAAGGCACCGTAAGTTCCCCACTCCAGTTCACAGGACTGGCAGCCTTGCCCCCAGCCTTCAAGCCCTTCCTGGCCTGAAGAGGGCGCCTCACCAAGGAGCTGCCCCCTTCCACCCAGGAACCTGTCTGCCTCCTGCTGCCATTCATGGTGCCAAGGGTGCCTTCAGGCCAGCACCAAGCTGCCCCCTGTCCCCACTTGGCTTTCCTCCTACGCTTATCAGTGCCCAAAGTCCAGAGGGGGCCGAGGTGGCAAGGGGCTGGCATGTCAGCATTGCCCCAAGTGTGTGCACACCCAGTCAGGCTGTGACAGCACCTGAACTCAGCTCCAACTTTGCTCCAAAGATGGCCTGCTTCTGCCATCAGCAGGACCAATCAGTCCCCTACCCACCAGAGGCAAGGAATTAGCTGACACCGCTGTGCCAGGCCTGTGAGGCCGCAGGGCCATGAGCCCAGGTTGGATTCCGTGCAGAGACTCTGCCATGTGGGGCCATAGGGTTTACTTGGATCCCATTCAAATCATTCAGGCCCTGACTGCTCAGCTTCAGGGAAGCCAGGCCCACTCCTTCTCCTTACATACTTGCCTAATCTTGCCAAAGCCCTCGAGGTAGGGGAAGGAGGAAACCCAGGGTCATGGATGTCAATCTCTTCAGCATCCATCTCCTTCCTCATTCCTGACAGTTCAGGTCTCCTTGCCTCTTCCCATAGCCATGATGATGGGAGGGCGGGGATGGGGACTAGGGATTGGCCTCGGTAGACAGAAGCCAAAGGGGACATGCCATTCCCTGCCAGTCACTAGTCTGGGTGGGCCTGTGACCTCAGCAGTCCACACAGGGTGGGTCCCAGGGCTCTGCTGAGAGGGCCAGGAGCAACAGCATCCCCTGGTGGGGCCCCGATAAGCAGTGTGTGGCCCTGGCTGCTACGGTGGCACCCCATGGCCACAGAGATGCCAGAGAACCAACACCCTCCTAGGTGCTGGGGCCTCTTGTTTGCTGCCGAAAGCATCTGGGCCGATTCAAACGACCCCCTCCAATCTTGGAGAAACAGACCTTGGCAAAGGGAGCAGGAAGAATCGCTGAAGAGTGGTGGTAACAGATACATTCCTGAAAGCTCAGGCAGGGCAGGTTTCCAGAAGGGATGACTGAAAAGTACCAATGCTTACAAAACCCACCAGCAAGAGTGACAGCAGGAGCCAGGCGAAAGATGATGTCAACTAAAAGCACAGGCTGTCGGCAAGAGACTGCCGTGCCCAGTGACTTCACCCTAGTGCTGTGAGTTTCACTAAGCTCAGAACTACTGTCTTGGTCCAAGCCCAAGTTCATATTTGTGCTATTTGTTTAAAAATGTAAAAAAGGATGTGAGCAAATGTCTAGCAAAAACAGCAGTGCAAGAAGACATGCCACTCACCTAAGACAACACATGGCTTCGAAGGCTTGGCAGGTGCCCTCACAGGGACACAGATGCAGCTAATTACCAGCCACTGTTAAAGTCCTGAAGACTGCATTTGAGGAACGCTGGGTGTGTAATCCTTTCTTTTAGTACTTTAATGACAGAACCAGTCTATTAGTGTGCTTTACAATTCAGGATTTTGTGGGGTTTTGTGCGATAAGGTCTGGCTCTGTCACCCAGGCTGGAGTACAGTGGCACCATCTTGGGTCACTGCAGCCTCCACCTCCTGGGCTTGATCCTCCCATCTCGGCCTCCCAAGTATCTGGGACTACAGGTGTGCACCACCATGCTCAGCTAATTTCTGTATTTTTGCTAGAGATGGAGTTTTGCCATGTTGGCCAGGCTGGTCTTAAACTCCTGAGGTCAAGTGATCCACCTGCCATGGCCTCCCAAAGTGCTGGGATTACAGGCGTGAGCCACTGTGCCTGGCCACGATTCAGTCTTATTAAATCAACCAAGCATCTGTGATGTGGCCCAAAGGTCAGGCTTTTCTTTCCCCGTGCAGATAGCTGCCCTGTGTCTGGGCGTCTTCCTCACCAGGAGAGTGGCTCAGGCACCACTGGGCCTTTTGCAACCTGTAGCACAGCCCTGGTGGTGCTGGGCCCCGGGTAGGTGGTGAGCCTGCTGCTTACCCACCAGGACAGGCACTGGACAGGCCCTGTGGAGTGGCAGGCACCCCTGTCCCGTATTCAGCCTCTTCCTCTGCAGGGGCTGTCCCTGCCTGGCAGGCAGTGAGTCCAGGGACGCCTTGGACCACCAAATCCTCAACAGCCCTCAGCTCAGGGGCATATCAGCTGGCTTCTCCTGCCAGTAGGGGCAATGAGGCCTCGGTGGGGCTCAGCTGGAGGTGGACCTCAAAGAGCCCAGGCCAGAACCCACTGTCGGGCGGTGGGCAGAGGTAGTATCAGTGACATTCTTTTTAACCAATGAGTGCTTAATTGAAGCAACTACTGGCACTGAAATAATATTTTAAAAGTGTTCTCTTAAGATTTAGTTTGGCCAGGAACAGTGGCTCACACCTGTAATCCCAGCACTTTGGGAGGCCGAGGCGGGCGGATCACTTGAGATCAGGAGTTCGAGACCAGCGTGGCCAATATGGTGAAACCCCATCTCTACTAAAACTATAAAACTTAGCTGGGCGTGGTGGCACACGGGTGTAATCCCAGCTACTTGGGAGGCTGAGGCAGGAGAACTGCTTGAACCCAGGAGGCGGAGGTTGCAGTGAACTGAGATCGTGCCACTATACTTCAGCCTGGGTGACAGGGCAAGACTCTGTTTCAAAAAAAAAAAAGATTTAGCTTAACATATTTGATTAAAGCATCATTTTAAAAATGTGAACCATGTGCTCAGTGTCTTCTCAGGCTGCAGCTAGCAAGGATGTGCACATGACTCAGGACGGCTCCATCAAAGCTTTGGGAAGCTGTCGGAGGGAAGTCTGAACTGGCAGAGAACGACTCAAAGGCCTCAGAGAGCCTGAGTGGGCAGCTCCTGCCCGCAGTGCCACACCTGGGCACAGCCCTCTCCGCTGGCTCACACCCAGGTGGCATCAGCATCGGGTGAAGAGGCCCGGGTCGGCCCACTCCCTTCCAAGCTCCCCCAAACTTTGCTTCTTATGGATCTAACACCCCTGCTCAGTGACTGGATCCAGAGCTGGCATCACTAGCGGGCAGCGTGGGTCCACAGGAGGCCCCAGGAAGGCTGGTGCAGGGCTGACATGGCCCAGCGCATGCCTGGCACACGATGGGCACGGCCCATGCCAAGGCCCCACGTGACATGACAGAGAAGCGGCCACAGAGTCCCGCCTCGGGCACTAAGCCAGTTTAACAACAACCAGAAAAGTGGCTTCAGACAGTGGCAACGTTTATTTTGCTCACACATCTGTATCTGGAGCGGGGCTCACGGGCAGCTCTGCTCTGCTCATCAGCTGGGGTGGCTTGAGGTGCCTGTAGGCTCACCTGTGTGTAGCTGGTGGTCAGCGTGGGCTCGCAGACAGACACCTGCATGGCCTGTCCCCACGGCCTGGGCTTCCTTCCAACATGGCACCCGGGCCAAGCCTGAGCCCCCTCAACCTGTCAGTCACATGGCAGCTACCTCCCCAGCAGGCCACAGAGACCTCCCCAGGATCAAGAGCGGGGGACTCCCTGGATGGGCAAAATTCCAGAGGAGCACAGGGGACTGGAGATGTCATTCCTGCCATCAGACCCTGGACACCGCCTGAGAGAATCCTTCCGTACAGAGAATCAGGAATCAGAACGGCTTTACGTTGCTCAAGGTAAAAGGCAGTGCCTTCAACTCGGAGTGAAAACCATTTCCAAACCCCAATGTTCCCCCTTCCTCATTCCCATTTCTGTTGAACTCTGTGCACAGAGCTCCGTGTGCACTCTGGAGCGCAGGGCAAAGGCCTCCCTGCCCGCCCCGATTGGTAGCTGCCAGAGGGCAGGAAAGGAGAAAACAGTGAGGGGACAGGGAACCTGCAGCCCCTTCCCTCCTCCCACCAGGTAAAGAGCTGCCCCTTCCCTCCTCCCACCAGGTAAAGAGCTGCCCCTTCCCTCCTCCCACCAGGTAAAGAGTTGCCCCTTCCCTCCTTCCACCAGGTAAAGAGCCACCGGGGAGAGGCAGGAAACGTTTTGAACTCAAGGTCCGCCCTGGCTCAGACACTCTCCCACCCAAGCCACTGTCCAGAGATAAGGCAGAGTTTGGCAGCAGAGGCAGGAGTGGGCATGAGCCCTGTACCCCAAGGGTCTAGGACCCACCTGCGACGGTGGAGCCAGGAGCAGGCAGCAGCAGCCCTCTGCGAGGGAGGGCAGGAACAGACACCAAGCACTGCGCAGCATCCAAGGCCTGCTGGCACCTAAGGAGGGGCAGGGTCACTCTGGCACCCACACCATGCACAGGTTGGCCGTGGCCACTGCTGGAAGAATCGGAAGCCTGTGGTGCCCGCAGGGACAAAGGCAGCCCCAAGCCCACAGCCAGCTCATCTGGTGACCACACCCACCCAGGGCCTGTCCGAAGGGGAGTGCCTGTTTCTGGGCATGAGGACTATTCATCTTGGTCTCCACTGTTCTACAAAAAGACCCCCGGCATTCAGTAAACTATGAGATAAACACCAGACAATCCACGGCCACGAAATAAAGCTACTGACAGAAGCAGACCCAAGAATGTGGCGCCAACTGTCACACAGCCACACCCCCACGACACGCCCAGCAGCGCATCCCGTTTCCCTCCATGTGGGTGTCCACGCTGCTTCTGTAACCCCTGCTGCCACAGGCGAGGCTGCAGTGAGCGTCTCTGCGCAAGTCTGTGCCACCCATGATGTTTCGGCCAACAACGGACCTAGCAGACCAAGGAGGTCCCGTGAGGTTACAGCGGAGTAGAGAAGTCCCTGTCATCAGAACGTGGACACAGTGTATCTTCCGTGTCTGGTGCTGCCAGCACACATAAGTACACAAAGTAACATCCTAGGCTTCCATGCTCACTCATACTCCCTGAGGCACTGACAGCTCCTGGTAAGTGCCCTGTGCTATTTTTAACACTTTAGACTGTAGTTTTACTGTATCTTTCTTTGTTTAGCATATTTGTTTTCAGACGGGGTCTGGCTCTGTCGCCCAGGCTGGCATGCAGTGGTGTAATCACAGCTCACTGAAACCTTTCCCTCCTGAGTCCAAGACATCTTCCCACCTCAGCCTCCGAGTAGCTGGGCTACAGGTGTCAGCCACCATGCTAGGCTAATTTTTACATTTTTTTGTAGAGATGAAGTCTTAGTCTATTGCCCGGGCTGCCCTCGAGCAGCTCAGCGCAAGTGATCTCCCTGCCCCAGCCTCCCAGAGTGCTGGGATTACACGCGTGAGCCACGGTACCCGGCCAATTTAACTGTTTAGACACACAAATCCTTACGATATGTTATGACTGCCCCGGGTACACAGCAGGGTCACGTGCCGCGCTGATCTTTGGCCGGGAGCAATGGGCTAAGCCACACAGGGTGGGTGTGTAGTGAGCTGTGTGAGCGCACTGTGCTGTTCCTACGGTGACAGAGTCCCCTAAAGAGGCATTTCTCGGAGCACAGCCCGTTGTTATGTGACAAGTGACTATACTGTCAGGTTCATTCCAAAATGGCTGGCCCTGTGATATTCCTGCCAGCACCACACAAGTTCCCGTTTCTGCAGATCCCCAATCCCAGCTTCCTCACTGCAGCCCGCCGCCAAGGCAGCACGCCCCTGGGTTCCAGCTCACACTCCCTGGGCGTGGCGAGGCCTACAGTCTTCACGTGCTGCTTGGTCCTCTGGTTTCCTTTCAATGAACTATTAATATTCACTGTCATGGTTCTAGAGACTTCTAGAATCCCCCTAAACACTGGCTCCTTGCTGGCTTTATCCATTAAAAAGAAGGAACGAGCAAAGTGCTACTGTCAGTCACCACCTATTAACAGTCCTCTGTGTCCTCCACTGCACAGAGAAACTGATTTTGATCTGACCAAATCACCCATGTTTTGCCCTCGGATTTATGCCTTTGGGGTCTCAAAATAAGGGCTTCTTCCCCAACGGAGCAAAGATAAGCTCCCATATCATCTTCCAGTGGCTCATGGCCATGCCCAGAACCCACGGCGCCTGCCTCTGCCCTCCCCTCTCCTCTGCACTGCTGTCTCCCAGGCCACCAGTCCCTCCGGGCTGCCCAGCCCCCTGTCCTCCTCCCATCTACCCTCCCACAGCAACCCACACTCTCACAGCTTCTGCTGCGGGAATCGCTCCTTCCTGGGACTCCCTGGCACAGTTCAGCTGAGCATTTCTCCACCTTCGCTGGCTGCTCTCCTCTAGCTCCACGGTCTCTACAACTCAGTCGACACTCACACACAAGGCAATGTAAACTGTCAAGGGCTTCACAACTTATCTCTGACATAGATTGCTGTGTTAAGATAATGTGAAAGAAAACAGTGAATATAAAGTGAAATATTTTAAAATATACCTTATTTTTCTACAGGCCATTTTCTAAAAATGTCTAAGCAACTAAAGCCATCATTAAAATGTTTTTTCTTTTTTTTTTTTTGGAGGAGTCTCGCTCTGTCGCCCAGGCTACAGTGCAGTGGTGCGATCTCGGCTCGCCGCAACCTCCCTCGCCTGGGTTCAGGGAATTCTCCTGCTTCAGCCTCCCAAGTAGCTGGGACTTACAGGCACATGCCACTAGGCCCAGCTAATTTTTTATATTTTCAGTAGAGACAGGGTTTCACCATAGTGGCCAGGCTGGTCTGGAACTCCTGACCTTGTGACCCACCCGCCTTGGCCTCCCAAAGTGCTGGGATTATAGGCAGAAGCCACTGCGCCCAGCCTAAAATGTTTCTTTTGAAAGATGCTGGAATAAAAGAATTCCTGACTTTTTTTGGGGGGGCGGTGGTGGGTGGGGGGAAAGTCTTGCTCTGTTACCCAGGTTGCGCTGCAGTGGCATGGTCTCGGCTCACTGCAACCTCTGCCTCCCGGGTTCAAGCCATTCTCCTGCCTCAGCTTCCCAAGTAGCTGGGATTTCAGTCACCCACCACCATGCCCGGCTAATTTTTGTATTTTTAGTACAGACCAGGTTTCTCCATGTCAGCCAGGCTGGTCTCAAACTCCTGACCTCAGGTGATCCGCCTGCCTTGGCCTCCCAAAGTGCTGGGATTAAAGGTGTGAGCCACCACGCCCGGCCTAGAATTCCTGATTTATATTAAAACCATTCTTGCTTTTTACAGGGTTGAAATCCTCATTCACATAACGAGCTAAAGAATGGAAACATCTGTATAAGACAATACCTTCTAAATACTATTTTTATACAGAATATTTACAAATTATCCAAGTAAGCAACCCTAACTAGTTCTTTATAGACTACAAAAGCCAGACCTGAGGAGGCCTGGCAGAGAGGAGCCTGCAGGTGCCAACCCGAGCTGGGCCGCCTGGTGAGGATGTGGCATTGGGGAAAGCTGGCCCAGGCCCAGACACCACACCGGGAGCAGCATTCACTGCTTTCAGTCGCACGTGCTTAGATGCTATATAGTCACTTGTCTTGCAGATTTTATGAACAACGATAGTTAAACAATGATCCTAGGTCTTAGTGAAGGTAAAAAGATCTTCCTGTACAAGGGCAAAAATAATTTGTACTAAGTTTTTTTTTTTTGAGACAGACTTGCTCTATGTCCCAGGCTGTAGTGCAGTGGGGCGATCTCAGCTCACTGCAACTTCCGCCTCCCAGATTCAAGAGATTCTCCCGCCTCAGCTTCCCGAGTAGCTGGGATTACAGGCATGAGCCACCACGCCTGGCTAATTTTTGCGTTTTTAGTAGAGATGGGGTTTCATCATGTTGGCCAGCCAGGCTGATCTCAAACTCCTGACCTCAGGTGGTCCACCCAGCTTGGCCTAAGTGCTGGGATTACAGGCGTGAGCCACCAAGCCTGGCCCTTGTACTAAGAATTTCTTCTGAGAGTATACATAATAGAATGGGATGAAAGCTAAAAAAGTAGACATTATTTATGATATTCGTATAATTCAGAAAGTGTGAAACACTAAATATTTAATACAAATATTTCTTATTTTCTGGATTTGCTAGACCATTACTCACTTCATCTCTCTTTAGATGGAGAGATAGAGTCTTATTAGTCATAAACATCATTGTAGAGCTAGAATAAACCTTATAAGCCAGTTCTTCCCTTTTTTTTTTTTTTTTTTTGAAACGGAGTCTCACTCTGTTGCCCAGGCTGGAGTGCAGTGGCCAGATCTCAGCTCACTGCAAGCTCCGCCTCCTGGGTTTACACCATTCTCCTGCCTCAGCCTCCCAAGTAGCTGGGACTACAGGCACCCACCACCTTGCCCAGCCTAGTTTTTTGTATTTTTTTTTAGTAGAGACGGGGTTTCACTGTGTTAGCAAGGATGGTCTTGATCTCCTGACCTCATGATCTGCCCTTCTTGGCCTCCCAAAGTGCTGGGATTACAGGCTTGAGCCACCGCGCCAGGCCCAGTTCCTCTTCACAAACGAAGCCCTGGAAGTCTAGAGACACTGGGGCTGCCTGAGACCCCACACTAATCAAGCTCATGTCCATCCTCTCACCTCCGACCTGAGGGAGCTGGAGACACAACACAGTGCCTCGGTTTTCTGTAAATCAATGAAAAACATTTACCTGAAACAATACAGTCAGCTGTCACTACTAATCACCAACAAGACTCACAATTTTGGATGTGGTTTTTAAAATACTTAAGTCTGCTGACTTTAGCCTCTAAGCATGAACTAAGTTGTTGGGAGTTATAACACTTTGGATAACAAAGATTAAAAACCCTCTGAAATTGTTTTAATGTACCTTTTAAATCTTCAGGAACTTTCTTGTCATGAAAATTTATAATATGAACTATGAAAGGGATCATGTTACCTTACTGATGATCATGTTACCTTACTGATGAGTCATTATCTTCTTGTAACTATCAGAATAATCAGATTTATGGAAAACTATAATAAAAAACATAAAAGCTACCTGTTTCCATTTTCTGCCTGGACAGCCAATGAATGAACAAAGTAAGGAATTGAAGAAAAGATTCTTGGACACGTGAATGGACCTGAACAGTCCGATGCAGTGTGGTCCTGGTTTCCCAATATGCAGGGGTCACTACAGACCCTGCATGTCACCAGAAAACATGAAAACACTCTCAATGTTTTACCTAAAATGGAAAAGCAGCTTTTGGTGACATGAGCTTTATAAAATAAAACATTCATAAAGCAAGTTTCTATTTTTAATTTTTTTGCTTTGATAAATCAATTGCTTCACAAAAATCCTTTTTAAAGACAACAATCCAAGAAAACATATTGTTACAGTATTCACATTTCAAAGATTGTCAGTTTGAAAGACCGAACATAACTAGAACGAAAGAAGATTGCTGAGTTCTTTCTAAGTGCCAGGAATGGGCTTTCGCAGGGGGCAGAACCCCAGCTGGGCACCCTGCTTCCTCACACAGGCAGGAGACGGATCACTCTCAGGTCACACAGACACAACTCCCGCAGCCCTTAGCCGTGAGGGTTTCCTTTGCCTACTGGATAAACACTTCCACTCATCTTACTATCTGGAATCAAAGCACAAAGGCCAAGCTAGTCCCTCAGCAGGAGCGTGCAGGAACCCAGCACAGCCAGCCCTGCCACTCCTGCTCAACAGGTGCAGGGCAGCAACAACAGCAACATGCTCAATTTGGGTCTCAAGACACATTCAAAGGGAGCCTTCATAGGGAAAAATTCAACAAAAATAAAACTGGGATCAAATCTGATCATTTAAAATGAAATCTTAAAAGGGTCACACTTTTGCAGATTCTTTCCACTGTCCGAGGGCTGGGGAACAGGTGTTTTAAGGTGCCAACTGACCTCAAACATGCTGGGCAGTGATTTTACAAACTGAAACGGCTTGCTGTGTAGAAGCTAGTTAAAAGCACCCAGTGGAGACAGGTTAAAGGAAACTCACGCTATGTCCATAAGCACCTTCTCTCTAAATGATCTTTATCCTATTCCCCTGAATTTAGTAGGAATTTAGGAAAGTGGAAGAAAGTTTTCAGCTGGAGAGAATGCACGCTGTACCATTCAGCATGGGTGTTTAACTCTCAGGCCAGAGCTTCCCTGTGCCACTGAGGTTCACGCAGTGCCCTCTTTTTATAGATGGGGTCTCACTGTGTTGCCCAAGATGGAGTGCAGTGGCTATTCACAGGTGCAAGCACAGTGCACTGCAGCCTCAAACTCCTGGCACATGCCATCCTCTGCCTCAGACTCCCGAGTAGCTGGAACGAGAGGCACGTTCTACTGCGCTGGGCAAGGGCAGTGCTCTTAAATTCCATCTACTGCTCAGTGAATGTGATTTCTAGTGGGGGAAAGAAACAGTGAGTCTACATTCTGTGAATGGCTTCCACTAATCTACACTAAAGAGCAGGCAGCCCAAGAGACGGAGGGTGGTGAGGGGAGGAGGAAGGGCTGGCTGGCTTTCACGGGTGCTTATTTTAAGAAGTCCAACAAAGTTGGAACTTAGGTTAAAATGATCTTGTAGACTTGACTTAAAATATGAGAAAACATTTCACAAACAAGGAATGCAACGGTGCCTTCATTCTTGGCCGGGCACGGTGGCTCACACCTGTAATCCCAGCACTTTGGGAGGCCGAGGCAGGTGGATCACCTGAGGTTGGGAGTTTAAGACCAGACTGACCAACATGGAGAAACCCATCTCTACTAAAAATACAAAATTAGCCAGGCGTGGTGGTGCATGTCTGTAATCCTAGCAACTCGGGAGGCTGAAGAAGGAGAATCGTTTGAACCAGGGAGGTAGAGGTTGCAGTGAGCTGAGATCGCACCATTGCACTCCAGCCTGGGCAACAAGAGCAAAACTCTGTCTCAAAAAAAAAAATGTCATTCTCTCCCCAAAAGAGCTGATAATCAAGTCTTTCAGTTAAAGCTCCTGAAAGATTTTAAAATACATTTCTGTATGTTTCCCACTGACTTCTAAGTTATCTAGAAGTACTCCCCTACGATTAACTTCAATTAATATATTCTTTTGGGAAAAATCAGTTCCAGAAAAAATGCTTCACTTGCTTAAAATGTCCCTTGGCTTACAACCAATCATTACTGTTGAATCTCAAGAATTAAAGACATTCCTGACCCTATAAACAGATGAACTCGGGCCATACCATTTCAGATGATATAACGACATTCTGTGTGAAACACTGTGTACTGTTTTCTGAGAAAAAGCACCACTCCTAAGTAAACAAATGAAAACAAACCAAAACCGAAGAAAACAGAACCCAGCCCACTCTTTCAGTTCATCTTGTTACCAGGAAACAGAAGTCCTACAGTTATTCCAAATCTCATACGGTCAAGTGAGCAGGAGGGCTCTGGAAAGTCAAAAGCAACAACGTACAACAAGAGAACACTGACACCAGGAGACCAGCCACAAATGCAAACGTGGGAGCCAACCTGTGGGGGCTGCCGCTGTGCCCTCGCCAGACCAACTCACCGCTGGGACTCCAGGGATGTCGGCTAGTTAAGTAATAAAGTCTGAATATCTGCTGTTTGCCCTAGCTCTGAGCCAATGGGGTAGAGCACATTTTATATTCGTTTATAATAAACATTCTGTGCATAACATATTTTGAATTTAAAACTTCTAAAACAATACACAGCTAACATGGTAAAGCAACCATGCAACTGTGGTCAGATTTAAATTAGACTGGAGTATGTATGGTAAGAGCTCCTAACAGATCACTGGCTACCATTTCGCCTCACTTACCTGAAGTCCTATTTAGCAAATACCTCTCGATACATGTTTAGATCAAGTGTAAAATGCAATCCGAGCATTACATATCAACAAAAATTTGCAGATATCAAAATTTCATTAAATAGCTGTTTCTTTTATAGTAGTAAATGCTCATCACTACCCTGGGAGAGCAAAGAACCATGGAACAGTAGCTAACTTTGGGCAGGTTCATTAAATTTGGTCAATTCAGAACATTCCAAATTGAAATATTAATAGCAAGCATGTATTGTTTCTTTCTCTAGAAATTTTATCCTCAATATAGTCATCATCCAATTCATAACGAATTTATAAAAATAGCTTTTTTATCCAATAATTCCAGCAAGGTAAAAATAGGAGTTTCTTTTTATATATAGCAAATGAAACAGGCTCACTGAACATGAGGGGACTTAGGCTTGCTGAGCTTGCCATCCATCCACTCACGATGAAACCACACTCAGTCTAGGCGTGTGCCGTTGTCACCGCACACTGGCAGTTTCGGGTGCAGCAGCTTCTTTCAAGTCCATGGGCCACACAAATAAGCCAGCCCACTGAGATCTGCTGGAACCACAGAACTAAGTGAAAACTGCATCACGGTTTAGAAAATGGCAGCGCTATTTCTTAATCTAATTAGGGATTCAAGGTGGGGAGGGAGTGGTGTGTCATTCCTCACAATCTAGCGTTAAATCTTTAAAGAATTTCTTTAAAAACACACACACACACACGTGTGCGCGCGCGCACACACACACTCTTGAAAGAAGTCGCTGCACCGGCAAAGACGCGCTTTAAGCTTACTATGAAATACAAAAGTGCACTCTTCTATATCTACATATAAAACATATTAGAAATAAAACTGTGTAAAATGTTTGCTGTGCAAACTCTAAAAAGTCAGGTGCATCTGCTCCTGCCCCTACTGTAGGGAGTCACTGTTCTCCAAGACAAGCCCACTGATGTGGGCAGGGGCCAGAGCACCCGCGTCCTCCTCTGTGCTGTCCACAGACTCGTCCTCGCTCTGCCCTGCCATCATGACCTGCTGCACCGCCAGGGTGGCCCCGTCCGAGGACAGAGACTGAAGGCTGTCCACGTTCATGTTCACGGGCGTGGTGATGGTGACAACAGCTCCTGCAGCAGGATGAAGGTGTGTCATTATTTAAATTAGTACTCTCAGAAAAACACTTTATTACTCAATTGGGTACTGTTTGCTTGTTTGACCTAAAGTTTAAAAAAAAAAAAAAAAAAAAACCTATGTATGTTTAGGGAATGTTCAATAGGGATTTAAGAAACTGTTTCTGGGCTGGGCGCAGTGGCTCACGCCTGTAATCTCAGCACTTTGGGAGGCCGAGGCGGGCGGATCACGAGGTCAGGAGATCGAGACCATCCTGGCTAACAGGGTGAAACCCCGTCTCTACTAAAAATACAAAAATGAACTGGGTGTGGTGGTGGCGCCTGTAGTCCCAGCTACTCGGGAGGCTGAGGCAGGAGAATGGTGTGAACCCGGGAGGCGGAGCTCACGGTGAGCGGAGATCGCACCACTGCACGCCAGCCTGGGCAACAGGGCGAGACTCCGCCTCAAAAAAACAACAACAACCAAAAAGGAAACTCTATCTGAAATCAGCCTCAGACCACGCTTAGCTCATAAGGCCTTGGCCTAAGAACAGCCTCAGTGGAGATCAGGACTATACAGAACACAGATTCATGGAGCAAAAAGTACTGTAGTAACAAAAAACCCGAAAACACCGAAGAAAGACACAAGAAGAATATAGTGGAGAAACAAAGTAAAGAGGAGAAGACAGGAAGAGGAAGGAAGATTCGTGTGAGAGAAGAGAAACCTTGTCACATGCCAGAGCCTGTTGTAAAACCTAACAGCAGAAGATGGAAACGGCCCAAATATCCACAAGCAAGGCCCAAATTAAAAACACTCAACAATGGAGAGGACGGGCCCAGTGGCTCACAACTGTAATCCCAGCACTGAAGGAGGATCCCTTGAGCCCAGGAGTTCCAGACCAGCCGGCCTGGACAACATAGGCAGATCCTATCTCTACAAAAAATTTAAAAATTAGCTGGACATGGTGGTGCATGCCTGTAGTCCTAGCTATTCAGGAGGCTGAGGCGGGAGGATCACTTGAGCCCAGGAGGTTCAGGCTGCAGTGAACCAAGCTTGCCCCACTGCACTCCAACCTGGGTGACAGAGCAAGACCCTGTCTCAAAAAAATAAAACAAAACATTGAACAGTGGAATGCTATGGTGCTACTAAACAATACAGTGGACCAACATTTACTCATCTGTAAAACTCTGTGAGACGTATTAATAAGTAATGAATGAAAGTAGAGACAGTGTTATGTGATATGCTAACATCTGGGTAAAATTTTAAAAGAGGCCCAGGAGCAGTGGCTCACGCCTGTAATCCCAGCACTTTGGGAGGCCAAGGTGGGCGGATCATGAGGTCAGGAGTTTGAGACCAGCCTGGCCAATATGGTGAAACCCCGTCTCTACGAAAGACACAAAAATTAGCTGGGTGTAGTGGTGTGTGCCTGTAGTCCCAGCTACTCGGGAGGCTGAGGCAGGAGAATTGCTTGAACCCAGGAAGCGGAAGTTGCAGTGAGCTGAGATTGCACCGCTGCACTCCAGCCTGGCGACAGACAGAGACTGTCAAAAAAAAAAAAAAAAAATTTTAAAAAGATACACTTTCATTCATTCATGTCTGTGCATACAATATCATATCATGTATGCACTGGAGCTTGTACAGGAAACTGGTAACAATGGTTGTCCCTGGAGAAGTAGAAGCCAGGATGGAAGAGAGATTTACTTTTCACTGAATGTTCTTGTTTGAATGTCTTTCCTCAATAGATAGGTATTGCCTTTTCTGACAGAGGGAGACAGAGAAAGAGAGAGAAAGAAACAGAGTAACTTTCTAGCTGTACATTCTTTAAAGAGAAGACCACCACACATCCAAACCTAAAGGATGCAGTCACAGCAGTACTTGAGGACACTCTGGTTTAAATGCATATAACACAACTCAAGAAAGGCTAAATGGAGACAAAATAAGTGTGATTCACAGCCCATCCTAACCAGGGGGCCAGCACCCCCCGCGCAAAATCACCTGCGCATTCAGTGGAGAACCCATCAGCGCCTGCCACAGGGAACTGACTTGAGGTCGAGGGAAGAACCGTCTGAAAAGACCACAGAGAACAGAGCCCAGCGTTCACACAGGTAGCCTGGAAAACTCCTTGTCTTCAGGCACTGGACGGAGAACTCAGGAAGGTCTGGCCTCAGCTGGGATAATCTGCGCTAGCCTGACCACTGCTGGGGACCACCCACAAGGATCACACTGCTCCCAAGTGACCTAACTGCACTTCAGAGCAAAGCTCAAGAAGACTTACGGGAATACAAAAACATCCAGCACCTCAAAAGGTCAAATTCCCAATGCCTGACATCCAGTGAGATGACTAGGCATGAAAAGAGGCAGGAAAACCTGTCATAAGGAGGAAAATCAATCAGCTGAAACTGACCCAGAGCTGACAGATGTTAGAATTCGCAGAGAAGGACATCAAAACAGTGGCAGCAACTGTATTCTGTGTGTTCAAAACTTAAGTAGACTCATGAAAGACAGGAAAGACTCAAACAGAACTTCTGGAAACATGAAAACTACAAGGTCTAAGATGAAAACCACGCTGGATGGGATGAGCGTAAGATGAAGCCATACAGAAGAAAAGATTAGTGCAGCGGAAGGAGAGTCACAGAAATCACCACCCAAAATTAAACACAGAGAATCTAACAAACTGGAAGGAACATGAGGAACTGTGTGAAACTTTTCACCACCTAATACACAGGCACTGAAGTCCCTACAAAGGGCTGCAGGAGGAAGGTGAGAAAATATGGTTGAAGAAATAATGGCCCCAAACTTTCCTAACTGAATAAGGTTCTATCGCTGCCAGAAAAAAGAAAGAGGAGGAAATACCACCATTTACATATACTTAAAAACCCATGCACACAGGCCGGGCGCGGTGGCTCATGCCTGTAATCCCAGCACTTTGGGAGGCCGAGGCAGGCAGATCACAAGGTCAGGAGATCGAGACCATCCTGGCCAACATGGTGAAACCCCGTCTCTACTAAAATACAAAAAATTAGCCAGGCGTGGTGGTGGGCACCTATAGTCCCAGCTACTCGGGAGGCTGAGGTAGAAGAATGGCGGGAACCTGGTAGGCAGAGGTTGCAGTGAGCCGAGATTACGTCACTGAACTCCAGCCTGGGCGACAGAGTGAGACTCTGTCTCAAAAAA